TTTAATTCTCCATACAATTGGTTGTAACTTTTTCAGTTGTACATTTATTTATTTATTTATTTTACACTTTTAAATTAATGAAGCTCTCCGAACATTATTAGGTAGTTTCAAACATTATTTGTGAATAATATAGAATATTTTAGATGCTTTTATAGATGTTATAAAATATTTTAAGTATTTTTAATATTTATATATCACACTTAAAAAGAATATTTTGCCAAAAAAAAAAAACATTAAATACACATTGTAAATGTTAATAAAAACAGTCTTCAGTATTCATCTTTGATTTTGTCAAAACAAATCTCATAAAATCGGTGAAGTCAAAATTTGTACGTAAGTCTATCTATACTAAAAAAAGGTAGATTCAAAATTTTATATCTAATTTCTTTTTTTCCTTATGTAATTCCTTCTTATTATCTAATTGTATAGAAATCTGTTCTGATTTTGTTCAATCCTCTAATTGTATTTGTATCATATCCCATAAAATCGGTTTAACAAAAAAAATCCCATAACATCCGATAAGTAAAAAAAAGTACGTAAAATCTTTACTAACATAAAAAAAAAGGTTTTATTTATTATCTAATTTATTATCTAAATGTATGGAAATCTGTTCTGATTTTATAGTACGTACTACAAATTGTGCACCCGTGTTCAGGAGCTACTTAACGGGCAAGCTATGTGGAAATAACTCATTTAGTGCTTCTGTCTCGTGCATACGGTATGTATTTGTATTACACATACTAGAAAATTGTGCACCCCGTGCATCGCACGGACTCTGTACTAATAAATGACCTTAAAATTGTGCACCCCGTGCATCACCCATGTTCACATTTTGGCCTATTACACCTCACGTATTATATATATTCCGTACATTTTTTTTATTCATTTATATAATTATAAGACTTGTTAAATAGTCTTAATTTTGTGCACCCCGTGCATCGCACGGGATCTGTACTAGTACAAAAGAAAACAAAAGGAGGTTTATGGTGATTTTTCAATCTTTCTACTAGGTAATCTAGTATTCTTATGCATGTCTTAGTTATAGAAAGGATTTAGTTTTTGGAAATTGCTAAATTAAATTTGTTTAATTATTATAAAAAAAAAATTCTATTGCATAATGGCCAAAAAACTTTAGGATGACCTATTGGATTAATTGGTTAATTAACATAAATAAACCTACAATATGTTACTTTTCTCAAGGTGACTGAATTGTTTTCTTTCATTTTTTATATTGGGTCACGCTCCGGTGAGAATGACCCTTAATGCGAGAAATAAGAATAAATCGTAACCATTAAATCGGGTGATCTCATGGCTAAAAAAAAGCCAAAATTATACCTTCATTAAGGATATTTTAGACATTTTCCATATCTATTGCGGACCCCACCAGACACACAAACTACCAACCCATTGATCACACCTAATTAATTGCGGGCCCACACATAGCTAACGTCTGTCTGTATCAACAAAAAAAAATGAAAAAAAAATTAAAAAATGAAACGTCCGTCTCTCTCCTCTCTCTCTCTCTCTCTCTCTCACATACACACACACACACCATCACGTATATACACTTACACAGTAACACATATATTCCCGGCCGCCGGAAAAAAATCCCGCCACCGCTGGAGTGACGCACCACAGCCGCCGGAGTTCCCCGCCATCACCATTCCACTCCACTCTCTTCCTCTCTCTCTCTTCTGCACAAACCAGCCCGTCACTGTCCTTCTACCGACCGCCGCGGCTCGTCTCCGGCGAAGCCGATCCGTCCGATAGCAAGGCGGCGACCGGCGCGCACCACTTGACACCTGCGAAAAGCATAACCATCGACTTCTAGACGCAGTCCGACCTCCAGGCATAGTCAGCCACTGAGATCCGCCGCCTCTCGCAGACAACCACCACCGGCCACCACCGTCGAGACCCTCCATTAGACGCCGCGGGAAGAGGTCGAGTCCCAACAGCCGAGCAATGGAAAGTGAACGGACATATCTCTGATATTCAAAATGAAATTAATTTGAAATGAAATTTTTTGGGCATTTAATTGAGAATTAGATAAGCTCAAAGGACTCCATTGAAGTTTAAGAAATTTGAATATATTTCAATCTAATCCATGTGCCAAATTTGTAATTTATAAAAAATATATAAAAATATTATTTTTTATATGAATTCTTATACATACGTTTCTTATGTATATTCAACAAAAAATAATATAAAATATTGCACAAACCTATTAACATTATTAATATATTTTTAAAATATAAATAATAATTAATATATTTTTATAATATAAATAATAAATTAGCTTGATTATTTAAGTTAGTTTGATCAACCAACAAAATAACTCAATTATTTCGGTTTGATTTCAGGTTGAATTTGCACAAAATAATAATAATAGTAATAAATATAATTTTATAATAATAAATAATAATTTATTTCAATTACTTAGGTTAATTCGATATACAATTATATAATTCGATATACAATTATATCTACTAAAGTATTGTTTTCAAAACACATAATTTATATGCGATCATATACATTAAGCGTACTTTATACATCGGCAGGCTGCACTTTATAAAACAACACGATACACTTTATAAAACAACACATTGCACTTTACCGAAAGTATAATTGTTCACTATATATTTCAACATGTTGCACCCAGTGCAATTTATAAAATAACACGTTGCATTTTACCGAAACTACAATAGTTCACTGTATATTTCAACACGTTGCGCTTTATAAAACAAAATGTTCATTTTATAGAACATCATTCCGAACTCAATTTTTTTCAACCAAATATAATATAAAAATAATAAATGAAATTATTAACTTATTAAATATAATTTTAACATAAATAACAAATTACTTCTCCAACAATAACGATAAGTTCCGAACAAACTAAAATTATCGATTAAAAAATTGTAATTCAGTTCGATTATCCATCTTTATTCTTAAAATCACGGTTATTTCAGTTCAATGTCAACTTTATTTTTTTTAAATAAACAAATAATAATGATAATATTAATAATAATAATAATAATAATAATACTTTTATAATAATAAATAATTTATTTCAATTATTTAGGTTAATTTGGCGTACAATTATATATACTAAAATATAATTTTCAAAAACACATATTATATGTGGACATATAAGGTATTGCACTTTATATATAAGCACGATGCACTTTATAACATAACACGTTGCACATTATAAAACGACACGTTGCACTCTACCGCTACACTGCACGATTAATGTCAACAGC